CAAGATCACTCACAAACACATGCTTGTTTTAGAAGTGGGATTTAATTTGAAGTTATGAGTATATAATTCTCCTGTCTTCTGACCAGATAAGCTCATTGTATAGAAACCTGCCATCACATTGCCTAATGAATGTATTTTCTCTATCTATCTAGAAAGACACACTTTTAAGCCAATTTGTTTGGTTGTTATAGGTATTATAATAAAGAATGTGACGAAAATCAAAGTTACTCTACAAATTGATGTATTTTATCTCTTTATCAGTCTTTAAATGTACATATTCAAAGGCTGGAATTCTATCTTATAGTTCTCCTCCCCTCACCCTTTACAGCTGTGTTCAGCAGAAGTAAAAAATAGGACTGAGAAATACTATCTCCTTTTTTGTCACTTGACTAATACATTTCCTTATGACTTCTAGACTATTTTTTTCCTAATTTTCTGTGCACAGTCATTGTAGTAGAGCAAAATACAAATGTGAATGCTCCAGGTAACTCAAAATATGATCTCTCCTTATCTCTAATTCTGAAAGGGCCATTCCTGTGAACATGGTGGCAAGGAGAGAGTTGATCCAGGACTGACCCACTCTGGCTCTCATCCCTCCAGTTCAGCTCCACCTGTGCCTCCAAACAGCAAATCCATTCAGTGGAGAACAATCATTCACTGTAGAAAATAATCCATATTTAAAGGAAGAAAGCCACCACTTGTGGAGCCTGGGTGAACAATGGGACAGAGCCAAACCAACAGATGGATTCCATCAGCTCAGACATTCAGTGCATGGCAGCCTACAAAGCATCAGAGTACTTTGCTACCAGAAGCTCAGCAGGGCACTCTATTATAGTACCTACCAGTCACTGGCAATTTACATTTCTTTCAGGAAAAATTGCTCAGATGATCATTTGCAGTGTTGCAGCTATCAGCTTGAATCTGGACTAGAAGCAAATTATTCTTACTGTCAAGAAGGGGATAATTCAGAGTCACACAATTAACACTGTACAGCAATGAAAAAAGACTGTTACTCCTCAAGTGACTGTATCCCATATACTGCAAATATATATATATATGTACACACATATATATAGTATATGAATGTTTGCATGTATATATGTACTAAGAAAGTTTTTAGCTGAATTTGTGTATATTGGTATTTGCATTGTCTTTCTAACACCATAAGCTTCTGCTGCTGGAAACTAAGCACTCTGTAGAGCTGTTTTTCATTTTTCTCAGGTCAATGAACCAATTCATGTACTCATATGTCTCCACTGAGTCTACTTTCAGTGCAAGAGAAGAGGCAGAACCCATGGGTGGCATCTCTTGGTGGTTCAGTCCATGCAGGACAATGAGGAGAATTCACTATAATCTTAAACTGTCTGCAGTACATATCCTTCCAAAGCTGCCAAAAACCCAATTCTCTCACAAGATCTCTATTGCCTGTCAGAAAGTAAGTTTCCTGATCCATCTGGCCAGTTGAGGCCCCGAGTTCAGGTAGCTATTTGCTCATTGGTAAATCTTCTAAAGCTGGCTCTGGAGTGGTTCTTCATGCCCAGCTACCTCAGACCATGACCCCTGTGCCAATGACAGCAGCTCTGGCAAGGCTTACTTTGTCACTCCACTGCAGGGTGAGGGTTTCTGACAAAAATTCACCTCAATTTGCTTTATACGTGAACCCATGATCTAAATACATGACTGAGGTCAAAGCTGCATGTTTATCCCTACCAAAAATAAATTGTTTAGAAGACAGTTTGATCCTCTTTAAGTAAAATGCCATATGCTTTTCTAAATCACTCAATTTGAAACAGAATTAAATATATATTGGGAGGAGGATAACTATTTGACACCAGTGGAGTGCTAAGAAGACAAATTTTAAAAGAACATGTTTTTTATTACCTGTAAGCATACACCAAAGCTCCCTGAAAGCAGCAGCACTACATCCTTAATTCACTGCTCGGGTAAAGGCAAGCATACACTGATTGCTCTTTTCTTGTGGATGTGCACTGTATGTCCTGTGCTCAGCGTACAAATTATTCTTAGTTAGGGAGAGTGAAAATATGGTGAAAAGACTTTGAGCAATTTCATCTCAGTCCAAATTTCAAGTGTAGTTTGAATGATAACAAAGTGCTTGAGATTGAATATGGTCCTGGCTGCATATAAACATTCTTCAAGCTCTATCTTTTTATTTCTGAGGATGTTCTAAAAAATATTTAAAATACATTTTACTAAACAGAGTCCCAATATTTTAATTCTGAAATAGTAATCCTCATTTCCTTCCTGTTCCAAAAATTCTAAGGAAGTGTTTTTATTAAATATTTTGATTATCCTGGTACAAGCAGTTTAGCATTGCTTCCTTCTTCTTTGAGTATTAATCTTTCTTACACTGATTGTAAAAGCAATAGTCACTCTGGTGTTTTAAAGCCATGTAATAACATCTTTCTTCTTGTGCTTGGTCATGTTCATTGCAACCCACAGAGATTGTATATCCCAGTCCATGATTTCATAATCAAAAAGAAATGTGCAATGAGGGGGAGGAGGATTAAATAAATAGAAGGATTAATGTCTTGATATACTAACAGCAGATATACTAACAGCACAAGTGAAACCAAATGATAAGATTGAGGATTTCATGTAAGCCATGCAAAACTTATCTTGCACTGCAAGCTGGAATCTGTGCTTGTCTGCTGTGAGAGAACAGAGGGATTTCTCTGGTGAGCACATCATCACAGGCTGCAACTCCAAGAGAGGATTTCTCTAAGGGGCAATCTATCTGTTATAACTGACCATGACAGCCACGATGACCTAGATGATTTGGTTGGACTAATCAACTAACTTTGTGACATACACATACTGTTAAGTGAGCTGGATTCCATTTCAGGTATAAACCAACATATTTGCTATGTAAGGCTGCATTTATTTTTCTTAGTCCCCTTGATATCCGAGGAAAGTAGGAATTCCTTTGGGGGAAGTATGAAACCTACATGCAAATACGTAATTCAGTATTCATATTATGAATGGAAAAGAACAAAACTGGGATCAGTGGGCTGCAGGAACCATACTGAAACAGAGGAAAAGGGTGAGAAGGAAGGAGTGACAAGAGACCAACCTCTGCAACCTGACTGCTGCACTCTGGCCCCACACTGCTGGTTGCTGCAGGGACGGGACTTAGAGTAACTTGTGGCTATAACAGTGGGCAATAAATTAGCAATATTAATTTTCATCAAGTCTGCACTGTCCATGACAATAACTGATAGTTTGTCTGCCTGTCCTTGTCTTGGATCATGAAGAATAGGAGCACTTCCTTTTTTCTCCCCCATTCTCAGCTGGAGCCAACCCCCCTACAGAAACATACATATATTTAATATTTTAGAAATATTCTAGGATAAATATGAGAACTGCTACAGAAGTAGGAAGTGCACACCACATTTTCAGCCATCTTTTCTACAGATCACATGCTGGATATATTACTCAATCCCCATAATGCAACCTCAGATCTGAGAAGACAGAGTTTCACATTTCAGCAGGACTCACTGTCAGGCCAGACTGTATTGTCAGCTATACAGGTCCTTGTCAGCATGGCAGGACATTTTCTCTTTTGTGTCTTACTAACTGTTGAGATTCTACATTTTTTTGAATATGTACTTGTTTTTTTCTCATTTTATACCACTGCCCATCTTTTGCATGCTGCTGTTATACAAAAAATATTACTAATTATGCCACACTGTCCTTGCTTTGCTTCCTGTGTTGTACTATAAGCAAATTCTAGCTTAACTTATAATGAGGCTGCTTTAAGTAATCAGGTTGCTTAGGCTTTTAGAGAAAGTCTTGCAGTCTTTACAAGACATAAAAGATATCACATTATAATCTTCACTTTTTGATTTCATAATATAAGTGTCCATATTCATCAGTGTTCCATGTAAAAAATTTGCCTTTTTCAGGTGATACTAAGCACATGTAATCAAGCATAAAGTGATATTGAGAACTTGAAGAGCAGATTATCTTCTTCTACTAATTAATGGACAATGAAAACCAACATTAAACACTTCCTATCTGACCATTAACTATAATTGGCAACATAATTAAATATAACCTATCCCACATATTTCTGTTGTGTTTCCAAGCATAGCTCTATGCTCTCTGAGGGCTTGGTGCTCTAGAAGACAGCTCAGTTAACTTTTGAGGTCTTTGTCATCTCTGTGAAAAAAGAACATGATCCCGCTCATAAACATTAGCAATTGATGCAAAATAAGAAGAACATAAAGAATAAAAAGAATATCCCCAGAGTCAGCTGCAAAAGATGCACCCTGTGTTTCCCATCACTGCACCAGCTGTGGTACCTGCTGCACATCATGTGGTTAACTGCAAATAGCCAGCAATTAACCTACTAACTATTTTCCACTGGTATTATTACACACAGCACCATACATATTCAACAATATAAAAAGAAACTAGTCAAATTAATTTTGAGCCACCAATACATAAAAATATTTTATGAGAGACAGAGTAACAAAGATTTTAACATTTACAAAGCAAGTTATATACAGACTTCCTTAAACAGACTTTACACAGGAGAGTTAGAGACAGGAAAATTTACAGCTTGACTACATTTGCTGATTGACATAGTGCCTTAGCTGGGACTCAACCTCAAGTCTCCCAAACTCCCAGGCTAGTTCCTTCCCTTCAAATCTCAAAAATATGTCAAGAGTCACTTTGTATATTTGAAAAGATTACTAACAAGCTGTAATATAAAGAAATTATAGTTAAAAATGTTTCATTCGTAATTGACACTTCCTAATTGCTTTCTGATATAGGAAATAAAATACTCTCTTTTTTTTGGTCCTTGCAGTAGATAATAATGTACAGGCAAGAAAAAATATGTATTTTTATGTATATGTGTATCACTGATTTTAAACTTGACTACTTAGGAAAAAGAAAGGAAGAATATATTTTACCTCTTTCCACAGCTTCAGACAAGTGAGCTTTAAAACAAGTGGTTTAGGTTTCAGACAGCCATTTCAAATAGTTGTTCCTACCTGCCTTCGAGAAGCAATAGTGCTATTGAAACTCCTGTTAGTCATCTTGCAATTCACAGGCTTGCTTTGGTGAGCCACATCATTCCTCCAGGTCTTAGAATTTTCTTTTGGGTCTGAAGGGATGGGGTTCAGGAACAGTATTCTAGCAATCAGGCCATAGAGGACAGTCGCCAATACCATTGGCACAACGTAAAATATGCCAAAGTCCATCATGTAGATAGGAGAGTAATAGCTCCTGGAGACCTTGTAGCCACAGGACACAACAGTAGTCTCTTTGTAGGCTACTGTATTAAGGTCTAGCAAGAAAAACCAGAGCATACAGTATATGGAGGTGAAAGCCCAAACAAAAATAATGATCTTTTTGGCTCTTGAAAAAGTGCATAGGAATTGAGCTTTGATTGGGTGGCAGATGGCAATGTACCTCTCAATGGTGAAGGCAGCGATGGAAAAAGAAGAAGCGTTGATTCCCAGGTACTGGAGATAAGTGATGCAGAGACACCCCACGTAGCCATACACCCAGGATCTGTAGAGGCTCTCTGTGATATTGGGGAGCCCTGCAGCCACGAGCACCATGAGATCTGCCACGGCCAGGCTCACCAGGTAGCAGTTAGTGGGAGTTCTCATGTGCTTGGTTCTGAGGACCACCAAAACCACCATGATGTTGCCCACGATGCCCAGCCCGCAGATGAGGAGGACCAAGAGGATGGTAACCACTTGATATTCAGCTGTGATGATCTCCTGGCTTGACAGTGGCAGCCCAGTCTGGTTCTGCTCGTCTCCTGTGCCATTCTCCATCTCCACCAGCCCACTGCTGCTCCTGCCAGCCCTCTGTCTCAGCACCTGCTCTCCATGGTCCCCTGCAAAGGGTCAGTGGAGCGGACTGGGCGTGATCTGCAGCCCCAGAACACGTTCTCCATGTGGTCACAGTCCCATTCCTGCACCGTCCTCCACTCCTAAAGCACCTGGACTTTCAGTCTTTGTAAAGCCAGCTATCAGGTGGGTTAATCCCTCTGAGACTCCAGCTCACTCGCACAGGCTAAAAGGCTGTTTTGTCCCAGCTGGACTGAGGAGGCACTGATGAAACCCCAGCCTGTGGAGGTGGGAGTTTCCTGCCAGCTGCCGAGCACCGCCCGGGCGGAGTTGCTCCAGCCCCGCGATTCCCGCAGCCCCGCGATTCCAGCCCCACCATTCCAGCCCCGCGATTCCAGCCCCACCGGCTCCAGGAGGAGCCGCAGCTCCCCGAGGCTGGGGACAGCAGCACGAGTTAAACGAGAGGGGTTTGGGAAGCTTTTCTGCTTCTCTCTCCTCTCTCTCGCTGCTCTCAGACAGCTGTCATGACAGCATCGATCCCATTGATCCACACTGGCAAACAAAGGAGAGCTGACTGGCAACAAAATTGCACTGATTTTTAAAATTCTGAGTGCCATGCCGTTGTGAAAGTATCGGCGATTTACCCCTGCATCCTGCTTTGCAAGGCGCTGTAATAGTCCCTTCAGGGCTTTACAGAAACAAATGTATCCCAGCTGTTGAAAATAGCAGGGGAAGAAAGTAGGGGCTTTTTTCACTTAATGGAAAATTCTGTTCAAAACCTCTATCGCTACAGCTGTCATCACTCCTGAGTCCTTTCAAGTATTTTTTTGAATTGCAGCAGAGCAAGAATAAAATGATCACAACACAAATTGCTTCTTAATGAGACCAGTCACACACAACACACACAGTGTCACCGATCTATCGCTCTTTCCTCAATGCAGATTCTCCTCTGAAAAAAACTCCTTCACGGTTAAATCAAAGACTGGTGGAAATAACTGTTTTGAGCAGTGCAGATGAAGCCCTACCAATCCAGCACCCGGAGAGTGCACTTTCCTGTCTCACTGGCTATCTAAATGCCTTAGTGAGAGAAATAATAGCAAACCCTTCTGTAAGGCTCTGTGAAAGTGCCCTTGTCAACTCCCCCATCACAGTCCCTCAGCCCACCATTCCTCCTTATACTATTATGTTAAAAGTTTGAAGAGCAAATTTGTTTTAAAATCCCTTACTTTTCTCCATTTAGGGCAATTGTTTTTGCTCTTTGCTCAGGAAGGGTTCAACAAAATAAAATGTTGCACAGCTGAGGAAAGGCATCTTGGGTTTCAAAACAGACTGTAGTGCTTAGCACTGGCACATGTTTGCAAAACTAGGATTTTAAGTAGACTTAAACAACAGGTGGTGAAATAAAAGAGTCTATCACATGAATCAGAGCTGAAAATCAGACTCAAACAATTCCAGAGGTTTGAAGCCACTCAGTTAGGTCTTCCAGTAATTTTTTTCCATTTTCCTTTTCACATTCCTGTTGCGATCACATACTTTTTATCTATAGATCCAAAGATACTTAATGAAGTAAAGCAAATATGATTTTCCTGTTTAATAGATTAGGAAACAGGGGTGAAAAGAATTAGATTGTTTTGCTAGTGGACTTGCAGTGGCCTGTGGAAAAATGCAGGTTGCTGATTACTTGACCAACAGTATATGAGCAGAAACATATATTGATTGTCCTCCATACCATCTGCAGATCCTGTTACTTTGGACACAGCTGAAAGAGGAAGAAGCCAGAACCAGTGTAGTGTTTGGGTATCATAAAAACCATTTCTTCCAGCCCCTTTATACTCCACAACATTTTTCCCTTCAAAATAGACAGATTTCCCCTTAGGAATCCATGCTTTTAGAGCTGTGTGACTAGAGTGGGGGTAGCCCCAGATGCTCAAACCCATAGCATAAAATGCACCAGCAGGGAGCCCAGGACTGAGAGATCACAGAATCAGTGTCAACACTTAGCAATCAAACCCAGCAGGGCACTGAATCAAAGATCCAAACCAGGAAACTGAGTGATAAACTCCTCAGTCCTCAGGGACCTCAGCTGAATTAAAAGTTTTTGACACCTCCATATAGTGATTTCTCTTTAGGAGGTGACTGATGCCTTTCTGCCACACCATCACACCATGAAGCCTTGTTCCTGTGTATCCTGCTAGCTTAGGTAGGCAACGTGTATGTTCTGATTTGGCCTGAGAATTAGCACATCTGAAAGCATGTGTGTGTTTGCAGTGCAGGAACTAATGGCTGAGGACATGGCATGCAGAGAAGCTGTGGAATATTTATAAGGCCAGGACTTTGAAGTGAATATTGGAGCTCTGGAAGATGTGCAAGACATGTATTATCTGATGCTTGCCTCATTCTTCTGCATCTGCTACTGGTCAATGTAAAAGATAGGATAGACTGTATTGTCTTGGTCACTTCTTATGACTTTTTATCAAGTGTTGAATTCTGGTAGTGAAAAAGGTATAGAGTTGTAACTGTATGGCTATAAGAAAGTAAATCTACAGTAGGCATTCAGAGGATTTTATCAAAATCAAAAATTTACGTATTTTATTAAAGTATTTTATAAAGTATTTTATGAAAATACTATTAGTATTATCATACTGAAACATTAACATACTATCAGTATTAACATAAGGAAACATTTCCCTTTTCATAAAATACTTCCACAACCCACAATGTTTCTGTAAAACTTGCAGTAATTGCAGAAGGAATTTCAAGATTGGAAATATATATTCTGTGTAATTAGAGCATTTGGTGCTGTGGATTTCACTGAAACATTATATGCACTTTGTCTGATACATTCAAATTATCCTTTCAGCATGATTATCAGTCAGAGATCAGATACTGAATCTAGGAATCAGTAAAAGACCAATTTTTTGACCCAGCTGATGCTGTGTTAATGCAATTCTCAAAATACCCTGGCTAGTTTCAAAAGCAGGTCAGCACGAATACATTCAGGCCCAGCAGCTGTGCCAGGGAAATTTTGACAGCAGATGGACCAGAGATTGTTGTGAAACTTTTACTGTATATCTGTTACTGCATTCTATACCTGTACCTGTTGGTCCAGCATCAGTTGACGTTGCATGCAGAAATGAGGACAGACTCAGTTTGCAAGTCAACAACAACAAGTAGAAAAACAAGCCCTGGAAATGTGCTCACTTTTGCCAATGCATTTCTGTTAGTACAGCTCTTGGGGTTAGGAGGGAGAGGGGAAAGCATGTTGACACCACCTGTTCTACCTACACTTAGCCAACAGTATCCTTGTCCAAACTGTTTTCCCATTTGTCTCAATTAAAATGTGTCTCTGCTCACTTGAGTCGCAACTAACCCATAACAAACTGTCTGATAATGTTAAGTGCACACTGAAGTGGAACAGTGAATCATTATAAACAGTTTAATCCACTAGTTATAAATTATTCTTAATTCTGTTTTTCTAACTCAGATCACTTCCCCAGCGGACCTTTTATGTTTTGATAAACTATTCCCAAAAAAAGGCAATTTCATAGTCTATTACCTCCTGTACTCAGGGTTCATAAAAAATCACAGCTAAGTTGGAATCTTTACTCTGTGTCCACCTCTGATGGAGCACAGAGCACTTACTGCTGTACAAATATTTCCAAGGCTGCATTTTTTGAGAACAGAAGCAATCATTGGTAATTGCTTTATTGCCATCCAGAGGCTGGCTTTTAAAGTTTCTGACTAGCTACTGGCATGATCAGCTCCAAATGTGTTTGGGAGATTTACACTTGACATGGTTAAATACTGTAGCAACCAGAATTTATTGTCCTACACCTTCTGTGCCACGTAGTTGTGTTTTTGTGCTGATGTAGTGAGCCCTTGGATAAGTGCTTGGTTTGTGGGAGAAACCTGCATCTGGAAAAGCCTCTTGTAAATAAAGATTGTGAGGGAACCAAACATATCTTCTGTGAGATAAATCTCATTACCCAAGGCGGGGATTCTTCCTTCTAACTTATTTTTTGTTGCCTGTCAATGGAGATCACTGAGGTACTGCTGCAATCCTGGGTGGGTTTTCCAGACATGCCAAAGTGGTTTAGGACTTATGATGAGGTGGAGATCAAAACCATGTCTCATGCTATTTGATTTAAGGGCTTTTAATCTCCACGAGAGTCTAAATTGGGTTTCAAAGGTAAGGGGTTTTGTATCATATTTCTTTTCTTTTAGTCTTCATATTGGACTGGTATTGGCTCAAGGAAATCGCTAAGGAATCTTTAATTATCTTGTTCTGAAATTGTTACACAAAGTATGAAAAATTGATTTGAGCAATAAGCTGGCTCACATGGGAAATTTGGGTTATGTCTTGCCTGTCAACAAGGTCACTGGATACTGTGGTTTGTTGAGACAGATCTGGGATCATGTGACAAAGGAGGCTGGAAGAACTTTAAAAGGGTTGCTCTTTTTTTTTCACTGATTTCTATCAGCTTGGGTGGGGATAAAGTGTACAAGACCCTTATGAAAGAGGAGAAAATTTTCTGAATAAATATAGAATGATCACCCGAAGCAAAAATTAAAAATGGGTGAGGAAGACTGCATTTGTATTTTTTAATCGCTTAATTATTTGCATTCCCTTAACTTCTTAAGGGACTATCAGCTAAGCCATAGTTATCACTGAAAGGTGATCTGAAGAAAGAGGAGGTTTAGTTCAATAGGGAAAAACACAAAGTCGTTCACTTTGGCAGGAGCAAACGGGTCCCCAGTTCTGTAGAAGCTTCTCTGACCCCAAGCCATACAACCATCAGTACCAAGGTTGATGAGAAGCTGGTGTGAAATACAACTTTCATCCAAAGTGTATCAGCAGAAGCTGGGCATTCTTCTAGCTTATATCATGTCTTTTCATCCTTTAAACACAACTATTAATGCTATTTGATAATGCATAATTTCAGAGAAGAAAACGTATACTGTCAAAGTCTGCTTTATTTCATATA